TCTATCCACTGAGTTCTTATAACTATAATTATACAGTGTTATAAGCTGATTATAATACATTATAAGAATGTTCATAATGCATCCGACGTGCATAGCAAGTATTAGTGTATTACCGCTTCATTTATTATGCTCTGATTCTTCCTTTGAATAAGATTACATTGACAATGTACACATGGTTCTGACAGGATGTAATTGTAAAACAATATAAGCAGACATCAGACATACAGACGTACTGGGAAGCTGTGGTTGACAAACAGCAAGTCAAATAATTTATGGCAGCTACAGACAATTTCTCCAGAGGGTCAATTGCCAGAATTCAATTTTCAAATATTACATGACATTCTTCCAAATATGTAAAACCTGTACAAATGGAAGCTTGTCCCTACTGCTCTATGTGCTGTTTGTTTGGTCACAGAGGAGACAGACCATTATGTGTGTTTCATGTCGATGCTTGGGAAACTCAAGTTGCTGCCCTTATCTTGTCTCTGTTCAAAGTGGAATTTACACAGAAATAGCCAAATATCATTCTGGGTCTTAACACACCCCATAGTGAAATATATAGCCTAGTGTAAATCTTATACTAATAATAGCAAAATTGTCCATCTACAAAACTTGGATGATATTCAAAGATGACCAACAAAAGTTGTATAAGGCAGACAGTGTGTTTTTCTTTCTGAGTTCATGTTAATTATCAAAATTGATCTTTTGGTTGATGAAGTCAGAGATAATGAAATCTGGGCACATATTTTGTGGTTGCTGAATTAGAACACCCAATAAAATGTTTATGTTTAATGAAGACTTTCGTCTTTGTATGTACTGTATATATTTTCCTTTGTACAATGTACAGATGGAGCGCTTCATTTCAGATGCCTACCCGTGCAGGTCCGTGATCGGCACGGGGTGGGCCCCTGCTGAAAAGGAAAACCCCCCTGCAGGACTTGATACGCCCCCTTGATAAATAAATGTAATTTTAATGAAACCAGCTGCAATGGATCATGGATCCACCAGGGGGAGCCGTGAAAAGCTGCCACACTGGAACTCATGTGAAATAAACAGCTGATAGATCTACAGGTATCTGATCGGATATTTGTTAAGATCCATATGTCACGGATAGGATCATATTCTGTGCTAAATAAGAGACATGTAATCATTTACAAAACATCACCATGTTTTTATTTAACAAAATAATGTTGTTTAATTCACGAAGGTGTAAGTACAAAACCATTGCTATGTTTTTTCATCAGGAAATGTAGCCCGGCTCAAAAAAAACGATTTTCAATCATCATCCTCACGATCATTTAATGTATCATATGTTCGCGAATTGAAATGAATGCACTAATACATGTTGTTTAATCCACGTGAGTTTACAACAACAAAAATAATCGCTTTGTTTTTATATCACATCCGACCGGAGGAAAATGCAGCACGGCTCTCACTACCGATCATCCTAATCCCACGGGCAAACAATAATATGTACAGTGTTAATAGTTTACTGTATTATTAGTGTCTAATATTACTGCTATAACAATCACACATTGAGTTGTTAAAATCAGACCGTTGTTTTTTTTTAAACAGTCTGAATGAAACGGCAGCTCTCAGGTGATCAGGTGTGTGTTTACCAGTGTTGGGACTAACGTGTTACAAACTAACGCATTACTGTAACGCAACTACCTATTGCGGTTACTAATAACGTTACTAGTTACCTATTCCCATTCAGTAACGCCGTTATAGTTACTGTGATTTAAATGGGTGCGTTACTGCGTTACATTATGTGATGGAACTGAACCGAATCTCCCTGCGGATGTAGCTTACAGGCGAATACAGCGATGTCCTCTCACAGCACCATGGAAAAGTGAAAGTGACCAGAGAGGAGTGATGATTGGTTAACACGGGGTAACATTTCAGGGTAAGCCAATCAGAGACAGAGTTGGGCGGGTCTTGCCTTATGGGGAAAATAAACAGACACACAAACACTTGCTAACACACACACATGGCAACGCTCACCACCAGCACACACACTATTAGGCCATAAGGTGAACCCTGTTATCGTTTCAACCCGCTCCACAGAAGTGAAACTACACAATCTTTAGTTCATAAAAAAGAACGAGTCATGCTTATCCACCAAAAAAAATATCGTCGCTAAAATTCCTGCCAATTCTTCTAGGCACGTAATTATTGGCTGAACTAGTCCCTTCGAAGCGTAATAATATCTTGGTCCAAAGTCGTGCCACGGTTCGTCACGTGATCGTGCTACACCAATTGGGTAGCTGCATATTGTCAACAGAAGTGAAAGATGGCGGCCGCCATGGTTACGCTAAACCAGACCAAATGGATTCTAAACAGTGCTGTATGCTTGTTTTATGTCATGTTTTGTCATATGTCTTAATACATCACTAAGTCCGAGGTATTTGCGTTATATACGCGGTATTTGTGAGAGGTTTTACTATCTGGGAACAGAGTTGACCATCGAATCAACATTGACTAGCAGCGTTTATCAGCCAACTCCAGCTACAAACAATTTCCCCACGGGGATTAATAAAGTATATCAAACTCATATTTATCAAACTATCATTCCTGGACTGCCATGTTCACATCGCTAGGTTCATTGGGATTATTCCATTAGACTGAGGACTTTTTGTCTGTCTGTTGTTACCCTGTACACGTTAAATGCACTCTTAAAATAAACATGACTTGATTTCTGCGTCTAAGAAGAAGGTTAACTTGTTACGTTAAGTAATTTAGATCAATAAAATGCAGTACTTCCAGGCTGAAGACTTTTCTTTTTGTTGCTGCTTTTAATTGAACTATTCATATCTTAGACTGCACTGTAACTTTTATCCATGTATTTTTTCTTTTAATGTTTCTTTTATTAGCTTTTCTTTTGAATGACTGATTTTAAATGCCATTTTCTTAATGTCTTTAATTTTTTGTAAAACACTTTGAATTGCCTTGTGTTGAAAAGTGCTATATAAATAAACTTGCCTTGCCTTACTTATACCAATGTCCATTGATTCATTTATTTACTCATTCATCCCTCCACAAATGAAAACAACACTGATGAACCATAAAAACGAGATTTATTACAAATATAAAAGGTATGACATAGAAAACAGTAGAAGGACATGTAATGTAGTATAATTGATTGGTGTCAGGCTGGGCGGAGCGGCTGATTGGTGCTGTGATTGCCTCAGCTGGTTAAAAGAGTCCTGCTGATTATACTCTGTTCTAGTACCAAAAACAAACGTATCTATGAGTGATGTGTGAGCGCGTCGGCCAGGCACTAAAACCAAAAGAACAGAAAAGAGCTTAAGAAAGATGGAAAGAAGGCTCTTTTATTCCTATTCCTCACTGTCAGTGTCAGGGCAGTCATCGTTCTCTTCCTCTGTTTCTTTTTTATTTGCACAATTTGAGCAACGACATAAGTCTGTGCAACAGAGTCCTGCAGAGAAGCATGAACATCTGCCTTTCTCACAGGCAGACTCTTTGCAGCTGCAGTGTATCACATGCAACACACTGTCAGGGGCAGGATTTCTTGTCATCCAGGTGACGTGTAAGTTCCCATCCTCTATTTCCCAACCATATCCAGCAGGTGATGGAGCATTCATTTCTCTTTTGAGACAGGACCTCATTATTGCTGCCTGGTAATTTGCCCTTTTGCAGTGCTGATGGAGGGCATCATGAGTAGGGGGAATGCTTAATTCTGGCAAGGCCGATGATGCCATACAGAAAGCCTTGTACCTAGCATCATTTACATGTTCGGCTGCTGGCTGATCATACAGGTGACATACATACCGGCAAAGAAGTGCAAATGTTGATTGCTCCAAGTCAAAGTTAGTACCTAAACTTCTGAAAGCCTTAAGGTAGTCATCTTTCTCACATGCAACAGCAAATGACTTTCTTTTGCCTTTGCCATAGAAAGCGCTTGTGGAGTCACACCCAGAGAACGTGTGAATTCCAATCAAGGCTGAACACACACTGGTTCCGAGAGCTGATGACACCATGGCAATGTCAATGATCCGTGTCCTGTTGCCAGTCCCTGTGAACACATATAAGCTGCATGGCAAATCTGCCTGCAGACTTACAGCAATGACTGCCACATCAGTGTCCGAGCTCTTGATGATGACAGCTTTGTGCTCCTGTGCAGCATGTTGGGCATGTAAAAACACCCGTGTGTCACATTCCTCATGATCACACTGCAGGTCTTCAACAACATCAACAGACTGTACACCCTCCATGACAGTTACACAGTGGCATTGATTTTGATGGGCAATGTACAAGCTGAGGTTTTTACCCACTGTTGTGAGGTCTGCATGTGTCCATGCCACATAAAGGAATTCGGCCAGTGCTTCCTTATTTTTTCCGTCAGAGAGAAACTTCTTCCACTGGGTTGGAGTTCTCTGATCTGGGCTGAAGATTGTTATTAGTTGTGACCCTGCATCAGCTCTACGGGACCGTTCTAGGCTTTTGATGCTGATGGGTGGATACCGGTCAGTGACAAAATCAATGCGTGTACACTTGTGATGCAAAGCAAGTTGGAGTATGCTCTGCAGTATGGTCTCTGCAAGCTCTCCAAATGTTGCTGGTCTGGATGGCATGGCCTGCATGACTGCCATGCCATCAAAAAGAATGGCACCACCTATTGGAACTTTGTCAACCAAGCACTCTCCACCTTTGCTCTGCAATAGATCCATGAGAGCTGATTTGTTTGTTTTGGCAAGTGAACCATCAGCACTTGCTAATGGATATGACACAGTTCCCAAGGAATATGACAGAATTTCCCTCATTTCAATTTTCCTGCTCTGGCCAAGGATGAGGAGCCTGGAAAATAACTTCTTGTCAGCACGCAAAATCACTTCCTTGCCTGCTGCAGATTTTTTGGGGGGCTTTTTCTGATCACTGAGAGTCTTGAGTTTTTGTGATATTATGGGGGCAAATATGTCAACTGTTTTGGATAACAGTCTCTGCTCCATAAACTCCTTTACAGCATTTTCACCCTTTTCTGAGGCAACAAGCAAATCCTTTGTGATTTATCCTGCTGCTACTCTTCCAGAGCTAAGACACACAATGCCGTCTTGGTGTACATCAAAAGGGTTGAGCATGGAATCAATAGTGTCCAAGATTCTACTCACAGCCTTTGCATCAGCAGAGATGCGTGTCTTGTCCAGGTCTTTTCTTGTCCGTAGCTCAGGAGATATCCCTGCCATTGATTCACACTGTCTTGCTATCGCGGCTCTTTCATGCTGTGACAGTATCCAGCGATACACTGCAGACCGATTTTGTGTGATCCCTGTCCAGCCACCTTTGGTCTTGGCATCTCTGTTAAGCGTTTGCTCAATAGCCTGGTCGCAAGCAATGGAGGCAAATCCATGAACACTTTGTCGCTGGACAGTCCACTGGCCTTTCACATTCATGTCACTGTGGCAAGAGGGATGTGTGACAGGCAGATTCATCATTTCCAGCCAGTATGCAGGTAAATATCGAGCGTAATTTACTCTATCGTAGGCAAAAAACCATGGCATCATTAACCGGACGGTTGACAGGTGAAGCTGCCAGTTTGATTCTCGCGTTGCTCTCACAAACAGGAGGAGTAGCTGCATCATGTCAATGTATGAGCTCCAGAAAGCAAATGTTGCATTCTCTGTACTCCTCCTCTGCACAAAGTCTGCATATTTCGAGCACATATTATCAAACCTCTGATCTGCACTCAAAACATCCATCAATCTGTCTGGAAAGGCACATTCCATCTCAGTGATGACATCCATGCACGCAGCTCTCTCTTGGGGTGGCAAGGAGTCCATGAAGGTGATAAACCGGATGCGCTGCAGACTCTCATATAGAAGTTTATGAGCCCTCATGCTGCGATTGTAGTGATGGCCATTGAGTACCCCATTGATGGATCCTGGGGCAACAACTTCAGATTCAATGAGGATATCTTGCAGTCCTGCATCTCCGAACCTTTTGCCTAGAATACTCAGGTAGGACATGCATGTATGGAATTCACCTAGTCTAATCACTAGACGCTTTGTAAACTCAACATCCTTCCAGCGTATTTGCTGTGCTTTGGCATATATAGCCTGGTCAAACACTAAAACTATATGATCCAGTTCTAGCTGGTCAGCAATCTGGACACTTCGCTTCAGGATAGTGTTGACTGTTGACATCTCTGTTGGTGAGGCTTCAATGACTGGAAGATAATACAATGCGGACTTCTGCAGAGTGTTTTCATCCTGAAGCAGTGTATGGAACCCTGTCCAGCTTGGGATTGTACAACTATCCGTACATGTGGACTTCACAAAAGCATATGCCATTTCAGCTTGTACAGCAAAGTGGGTGTCCATTCTGCATGTCGCTGACTGCACTGGTTGACACAAGTTCTGTGGCCCTTGCCTTTTGGACTGATGGTAAGGTTGTATAGGCATTGGGGGGGGGGCTATGAATGAGGTAACTCCCTTTCTCAGTGGCTGTCTGATTGCTGTGGACATAGGCTCGCCGGGCACACTCTGGAGCATAATTCCATTTGTATGGTGAGTAGTTCCACGACCCGATAGTGTCTCCTCACCAAAGTCAATGTTATCCCACACAAGTGTTGTGGGTGTCCGCTTTGAGAATCCCTTCGGTATTTTGTCTCTGCCTTCTACTAGTGTCAGTTGGGCAAGGCTAGTGTCTAGACTCAAAACTGTGTCCCATGATGCACAATGTCCCAGTCTGTTAAGCAGTGATACAATGCGTGATGATCCAGTTAAATGTCGAACAGTTAAACCTAAAGCCAAGGACTTGGGTGTCTGCTTGCGGCCCTTGGAAGCAAGGTACACAATGTCTTGACAAACAGACAACACTTTCAAATGTACGTCATCATCAATGTTGACATAATGATCCAGTGTTGGCTCCTCAGTGGAACCTATAATCCAGCTGAGCAGATTGTATAGTCCAATGGGGACAACAGTTTGAGATTCAGTGACATTTACATTTTCAGAAGTGGGAGGCCATGGGCATGACATGCCAGGAGTGTCACTAAGCAGTCTTTTCAAAAACAACGCTGCTGTATACAGTGTCCTTGTGTCCTCATGTGTTGTTTGGCACTTTGTTCTCCCTGTTTCATTGTCGCTGTCTGTCTGGCTCAATTCACTGGACTGTGTTGTTTCCGTACCGGATGGATCTGGTAGCATGTCCACGAGTGCATCCTTTGACAGAGTCTCAGCAAAAACCAGTTCGCAGACGTTGCGCTTGGTGGGCATGTGAAACGCTAGCTGAGGGAAATCTTGAGCCAGCCTCTTCTTCAACAGATCCTGTCTGTAACACAACAAAACAGTGACAATTACGAGTCACAGGAGTACCATCAAAAGCAGAGTGGTGGAGGTGATACAAGACATTACAGACTAGAACCTATCTGCCATACAGCACATTTAACACCAAAGAAGCCAAATAAAGGCCCACATCATCACAAACAACACTACACACTACACATCATGGGGGTTTCTCCAAACAGGCCTGTCATACACATTTTGTTTAAAGCTGGCCTTGCACATGATAAATAATAAGACTTGTATTACATTGCAGTTACCTGTAGTTTGAAGCATCAACACCTTCGTTTGCTTTCACCATGTCAATGAAGGCCTGCCTCAGCTGGCCCATTCTAAGCACCTCATTGTTGACAAGCAGCCTCTGGCGGATGATCCTCTCACAGAACAGCTTGTAACTGGCATCAAACATTGCCTCATCCCTACAACACATGAATGAGAAGTAAATAAATGGATAAATGAATAAGTGTTGTGATTGTGTGCACATATAACAGAAGGAAATTGGATGTTTACTTATAATGTTAAGTATGTGTATGTGTATATATATATATAGCCATCGCCGACACACACCTGGACTTCAGTCTGGTGGTAGTGCAAATAGGTAAAGCAATCCAAGGAGTAATAACTTACTGTTCTGTCTCTGGTTTGTCAGGTCTCAGCAAAAACATGGTGTACTGACTGTAACAGCTTTTGTGGTACCGCACCTCCAGAGCCACACAGTCTTTGTCTTTTATATGTAAAAGAACACTTTGGTCATCTTTCTTCTCAGCAGCTTTCTGCAATTTGCCTAAACGGAAAAAAAGGACAACTCAATGAGTTTGTTGACGTATCTCTCACACATAATTGTACCTTTCAGTTATTCAACCACAGAGAATGTGTGTGTGTGTGTGTGTGTGTGGTGTGTGTGTAGTGTGTGTGTGGTGTGTGGGTGGGGGAGGGGGTTTGCTTACCTGCTTTTAATGTTTCAGCCTTACACAGTTGATCCCTTTGTCGCTTGCCTGCTTTGATGATCATTTTCTCCTTCATCTTGCATATAATGCACAGGGCAGGAAGGACGGGGCCAGAGCCTGCGATTGGCAGGCCTGACCTTGATCGTAGCTTCTCTGTTTGGCTTCGGTACGTGCTGCGAGACGTCGATGGGATGGGCTCGACCTCAAGGTCCTCCCTAACGTCTTGATCTCCCTCACGTGCGAGCCGTCTTTCCACCTTCGTCATGGCCTTTGTGTCGGTAAACCTTATGTAGCATGTGTGGTGGAAGCCAGCGTCCTCAGGAATATCTTCGAACTCTAAATCAAGACAGTGCTTGTGGTTTTCAGCCACCACGTTCCGAGAGTCTCCCTTCAAGCCGAGCGACCGTTGTAAGCTTGTCCTGTACGTATTCCATCTTGTATTGGTAAAACAATCAACCTTTTCGTGCTTCACAGACGTAATATGCATGTAACAATGTTTGTGTGTTGACAATTTTGACTTTTTGAGACTTTCTGGTGCGTTTTCCTCGTCTCCGCTACTCGATGAAACCATGGCGGCCGCCATCTTTCACTTCTGTTGACAATATGCAGCTACCCAATTGGTGTAGCACGATCACGTGATGAACCGTGGCACGACTTTGGACCAAGATATTATTACGCTTCGAAGGGAATAGTTCAGCCAATAATTACGTGCCTAGAAGAATTGGCAGGAATTTTAGCGACGAAATTTTTTTTGGTGGATAAGCATGAATCGTTCTTTTTTATGAACTAAAGATTGTGTAGTTTCACTTCTGTGGAGCGGGATTTCTTTTCTAAAGGACTTTTCGAGGTTCACCTTGCGGCCTATATGGCAGATGCAAGTATCAGCGAGAGCAGCAGCGCATTTACAACTTGGAGATATAACCACTATTTTCAATTTGTGGGGATAAAGGACGCACAAAATATTATGGTCAAATGTAAACTGTGTGCAGGACAGAAAGCATTGTCCACATCGAATAACAGCAATGCCAATCTCCTGAAGCACCTAACTAATGTAGCTACATGAGGCTATAAAACTAGTCGCCAAAGACCCCACCGTCTCAACCACCGGCAGTGACCCAGATGGAGCAACACCATCTAAACAGCCAAAAAACGATTTTTTTTAAATCGCCACATGTCACCCAGAGTCAACTAAACAGATTGATTGCTGAAAATAGTTTGTTTGTCTTCAGTGTCAGTCTGACAGTTTATTATTTATCTAATTGTTACTGCTAAAAGAGTGTAGTTCTTGTTTAGTTGTTGTTAATGTGTACACTGTGGTGATTGACATTATTCACCCACGGATCTATGGGATGATTGGGACATTTTAGTGAACCGGACTTCCTGTTTCCGTCGGTCTTCGCTTCCCGGGAATGAAGTTGTGTACAATGGTTTTCAGATGCTAAATAAAAGTCTAGCTTGTACCTTTGATACCCCACCTCCGACTCCCGTCTCTCGACACCACAACACTGCCAAAAGAGTGTAGTTGTTTTTCAAATCAAATCAAGTTTTATTTATATTGCACATTTATAAACGATTTTTGGTCGAGCCAAAGTGCTGTACATATAATAAAAATAGCCTACAGTAGAGACACTTTACAGCAAATACAACAGCACAGATTGTTTTAGTTTTTATTTCATATTGCACTACTTAGAACTTGATTGTTGAGGCTACAATAAAGATGCCTGCTTTATTGTTATTGCACAGATTACAGGTACTGAGACAACAAAATGCAGTTTAGCTTCTAACGGTGCAACAAGCAGTAAAGTGAAAAGTAATGTACACAGTCTACAGAATAAAATATAGAATGAATTGAATGATGAATAAACAGTGAGGGGTATGAATACACTAGCAGCCTGTGAGCAGTATTAACAGTGTGTATGAATATGCTAAGATATATAAAGTATGAAAACGGTAAGCAGTGCAAGTATAGTATAAAATATATGGATATTAATTTCATGATAAAAAATGTGAATGGAAGTGGCGACGTAAAACTGACACAAAACAACAACAAACTAAAATCTTTTGAGAAGCCCCCACCCCCCATGTTGCCTGTGATGTATGCTGCAAACTCTTTGTTTAAAACTAATTGGCCATCGGAATGTGTGGAGTAAGTCTCCAAAGGGGGAAGGTCACATTCCACAGCTCTCCCCCCCCCCTCCTGTGATCTCCCAACCCCCAGTCTGTAGGTTTGTGTTCGCAAATGTCAGTGTTAATTTTGGCAGCTGTTTTTGATTTAGTCTTAGTCTTTAGACGAAAATGGTTATTAGTTTTAGTCACATTTTAGTCATTCCTATCCTTCGTAGTTTTAGTCTAGTTTTAGTCGACGAAAACTCAAAACGTTTTAGTCAACTTTTAGTCGATGAAAAATTACATTTTAGTCAAAATGTGTCTCTATACTCTCTGAACGCTCCGTCCCCGGCAGATCTCTGTGTCCGCTGCAGCATGTCTGTTAGGCCCCGCCCCCCGCACACAGAGAGACAGAGAGATCGCTCTTCTGGAGTGAAGAGAGCGGAAATAATGATTTTGCAAGTTAGAAACGTAAGATGCATTTTGACAGACAAGATGGACACTTGGGGGAAAATATGCTGCATTTTGAATGTCCGATAGTCCACCATTAACACCTTAGTCCCGTCTCGTCTCGTCAACGAAAACTAAATATACATTTCGTCATAGTTTTCGTTATCAAGAATCTATTTTTAGCTCGCCATCGTCTCGTCTTAGTCATGTAAAAAAGGTTGTTGACGAACATTTTTCGTCATAGTTTTCGTTGACGAAATTAACACTGGCATATTTAAACTGTTGCACTTTCTGTTGTTTCTATCGCGCATTGCCGGTATGAAAGGGTCTGTGCCGGAAATATCAAACATTTAATAAAAGTGAAAAACAATGAACAAGAACGTATTCATCATAATTAATTATATTTATTCCGTTTGGATGTAGGATTTTTGAGTTTGTTTTAGAGCAGTGATCTTCTCTGCAGCAGAGAGCTAAGCGCTGTCAGACCGGACCTAACCCATTATCATCTGAAATTAATCATTATGTTATTAATATTAAATACATACAAGTATGCATACAACTTGTATTTAGAAATACTCTGTTGTAATTATTGATGCATAAATGTGTTCATCCATTCAATGTGGCATCTGCTATAATGGGGTTAATGTATGATATTACTTAATAATACAATACATTATAATATGATATGATAATTATATTTTAGTTGTATTCATTTCTTATTTCATAGTTTCTCATTATTATTATTTGTATCGCTCATCTTATTTTTGATTTTATTAATCTGTGTGAATCTGTGCTGTTTTTCACTCTTACCCTGTTGCTGTTTGAACTACTGAATTTCCCCACAGGGATTAATAAAGGTCCATCTTATCTTATCTTAATGTATACATTGATTTACTTCAATCTACTGTACTGTGTAAAAACACCCAAACAATATTACAAAAAATATACTGCATAAAGCAAACTATATACTTTATTTGATCTAAAACATTGATGTTTTTTCATTATAGTAGCTTGTGAAAACCATACAGTAACAAATAAGTGATTAAATGCTACAGTATTCAGCAAACACAACTGCAGAGCTGCAAACATTGCAAACAGACTAAGTTCTACAACACCCAGTTGTCTTTGTGTATTTGTGAATGAAGCGCCATCTCATGGTTTAAATCCTGTAATTGAACAAATGGGGAAATTTGGCAACGCCCTCTAGCAATTTGGCAACACCCCCAGCCACTGGGATCCGCTGGGCTTTTGACTGGGACACACCCATGTGAGTCCTATCTGGAGTGCTACATCTGTATTGGTATGTACTATACATTTCATGTTTAGTATTTGATGTGTATTGTAATGTTTCAAAAATAATAAATACGTTAATTAATTAATCTTACCACCAGACACAACATGAACAAATGAATGATACACATCAGGACAGTAACTTCAACTTCAGTATTTTAGGTGTACAGAAACCTCTACTCATGTTGTTAAATGATATACAGCAATATCTTCCATAAAACGTAGTTGATTGATTTGAATAATAATTACTACCACTGCACAAACAGTGAAAAATGATATGCCTACAATTTATGAGTTTAATGTATCCTATGTTATGATAAACTATCAATTTGACTCTGTATTCATTATGATCTGTCAATAGGTCAATTAATGTCTTCTCTGTGGGTTGTATACTCTTCATTCTTTATGCAAATTAATTATAATTATAATTTTTCAAAGTTCGTTTATGATTCATTCAAAGCATTAAAATAAATGAGAAACAGAGTGTCATATACCTTTAAGAAATACGTGGGGGGCGGGGCTCATAACCCTTTAGGAAACGCCCCCCCCCTATAGGATCCACCCCCTTTAGGATCCGCCTCCTTGCTGTGGTCTGCATACAGACTCTATTGGAATGACCTGCATGGTGAAGGCGCACTGCATGCAGAATAAAACGTTCTGCAAATGTGTCAAGTGTGGGGATGCTGTGTGTGGCAAATGCACAGCCAAGGTGCTCAGTGTTTGCAACAATTGTGTTTGAGTGTTTGTGAAGCGTTGTGATCGATGTGTTCTTATTGTTCTTCTTCTCTGATGTTTTTTGTTATTTGTATACGTTCTGTGTTATCTGCTGTTCAATTATATAACAAATACATTATTATATTAATTGATATTATTGTCATGTTGTTTTTTTATCAGTAGAAAGCTATCAGACGATATGAAGCATTTTTACCTTTACGAAACACAAGC